CTCGACTTACGACCATTCATTTAACAACTGTTCAAAGTTATGATGGCGCTGAAAAAAATGACTTATGACCAGTTCTTGCCCTTATGACTGTTGCAGTGTCATGTGATCAAAATTCAGACGCTTGGCAACCAGCACTTATTTACGATGGTTGCTCATCTCAGGGTCATGTGATTGCCATCTGTGACCTTCCCAGGGGGCTTCCAACAAGCAAAGTCAATGGGGGAAGCCAGATTCGCTTAACAACCATGTGACTCACTTAATGACCACATCACTTAGCGACAGAAGTTCCAGTCCCAATTGTGCTCGTAAGTCAAGGCCTACCTGTACATGATCTTTTGTGCTAAGTCCCCTGAACATACATGGAATTTTTTGCTTCACATTGACAGAATGGCCACCAAAAGCAAATATTATATGGCTTATCAGTCTGAACACTAAAGAGCACAATCTTATGGAAGTTAATCTAGAAATAATTGCTGTTTTTAATTAATGTAAGGTTTCTCTCATGTGCTATTAAGATCTGCAGAATTTCAGCAACACCTATGGAAAACAACCCATTTCTGCTGAGATGTGTAATGTTAAAAATTGTAATTAGCATTTTTTGTCCTTTGTAAACTTTCAGGACCCCTATGTCACCACCCAACCCCAGTTTTTTCCCCCCTTTTAACCTGGGATGCAATACACCATAGCTACACTGCAATTCTTTTGCAAAGACAAGACTTGTTTTGTCTTAGCTGCTTTGCCCTCTCTGCTTGTTGTAGCCTGGTCAAAAGATATGTAGTCCAGTCCTAACAAACATTAAGCAAGTATTTTGAGACCCTGCCAACTTACCATGATGTGAATTAGAGATTTGGAAGAGCAATAGTTATTGCAAGATATAGGGCAGCACTCGTCCATCTCTCTTAGCATTATTAACACCAAGAATGGGCTGACTTTGGGCTCATAGGCTCTACACTGGTGCATTAGTTTGTTCTCAGTTAGAACTCCAAGGTCCACTACCTAGCGTACAGCTGCAAAACAAAAATATAGGTAGTCTTCCTAAGAATTAAAAACAGTGTCACACTACTGTTGTAGATCAGAGTGCCAGGAATCCTAGGCACAGATTCAGCTTGGGAATTTGCAAATAGTCACAGAAGCAAATACTTTCATTCAAAAAGCCATTCTTAGTATCCCCTAAATAAGCAACCCAATTTAAAAAGAGAATGATTTTGGTTTTTGGTATTATTATGACATTCGTAGTTAGAAACCTGAGCCAATTTACAGGAAGTCTCTCAGAGCTCTATCAGTAGATTTTAATCAATTGGCCTTAATAAAACACAGCCTGGCTATAGCCTTCTAGTTTTGCAAATGCCAGTGCTTCCCAGTTCTAAATGGAGAGACCGAAAACTGGGCCAAGGCCTTTCTCCCTGCAAAGTATGGATTATAACTGAGCTTCAGCCCTACTTATACTGTTGTTCAACTCTTGCAAAACAGAGAGCCAAGAATTCACTTAGACATACTGTTTGAAAGATGGTTGCATAATAAACTTCCTGCTTTAATGAAGAGCTGACTTCATCTTTCTTACTTCCACAGCAGTTCATTTTTGTGAAGTGACTGAGCTCAGAACTTCACAACTGACTGTTGGTGTCCCCACACCTTTAAAGGCTGAATCAATGCACAAATAAGAACTAGATGTGCCATTACTGATATAAATGCAATCCTGTAGTCTGTGTTGGAATCAATGCAATATCTTCCTCCTTAATTGCAGTAGCAGGAAGAAGACAGAAACCATTAGCTAATTCCTAGTTTTTCATCCCATGGTCACATGTGAAACCAACAGAAAGATACTGGTTTTTTAAAACGATCTAAGCAGAAAAGAGAAAAAATTGAAAGGTCTTCAGAACATTCTCTTGTGGATCTCTAATCGATCATAGCTTAAAACCTAGCCCTATGATTAGGATCTGAATTCACAATCCTATGTAATAGCATAGGATTCTGCTATTCTGGAAAAAAATCCAGGAGTGCTAAAAAAAACAAAACATTTTTAAATCAATCAAATTGTAGTATACAATATGAGGTTGCTTAATTACATTTTATGTGCTTCACTAGAAATGGTGCCATATAATTATTTATTGGTATATGTGGATTTACAGAATATTGTTTTCTCTGCAGTGTGGCTGAAAGAAAAGTGTAGTGTGCCCTGTTGTCTTAATTCACTGTTTCCAAATGCTTCAGGAGAAGGAAAGACTTCTTTTTTGATTGCACTGTTTCCCCAGGCAGGGAATTTTATTTCCGTTTGAATCTTAAACCATCATATTTTCAGCGATGCATTTTTATATTTACAGTTGACATCTTCACAGAATGAAACCTCTGAGCAACAGCTCTAAAGCATGAAGTTTGCCTCAAGTACTCAAATTACTTTACACCCAAATGAAACCACTGATTTTTAGCTAAAATTTCATAAAACTTATTGAATATTTTTTCTTTAAATGCCTTAAATTGCAAAAATGAACTTGCCAATGAAATATATACTGTATGTGCATTGAAAAAGCCTATTGAAACCAGAACAGTGGAGCTACTTTATCAAGTTGCCAACATTTTGTTCTCAAAATCCCTGTCTCAGTTAGAGGTACAGAACAAGGATGTTATTGACATAAATGGGAAACAGTAATCTTACTGAGGGTAATCAATAAAAATTCCAAATCAATCTATTGTGGTTTGCTCTACAATTTATCAACCCAAATACACCAAATTTATCTGCATGCTTGACAAAAAATATAACACGGTTAAAGCAATTACAATAGTCTCAAACTACCATACTATCTAAAGGATATCTAAGCCAGAAGCAAAACATGCTAAATATTATTTTATTACTACTATGGATAGTGATTCAAAATTATAAACAACTGATGCATTCAGTCTAGTTGTCTCCTCTTAATTAAGTATGTCTTTTTAAAAAAAATTAATTGGATATCTATATGAGTATATTTTATTATTTGTCTCCACTAAAATTATCCTAAATAAGAACACATTTCTGTTTTGTTTTGTTTTTTCTTTTAAATGTAGCACTTTGTTGTGGATAACAAGACATTCAGCAGTTTTAGCATCAGATACCGATCCTAATAGAACTCCAGATCTCATATATTAAAACACAATGGTGGGAATTTGGGATTATGAACTTAATGTTCCCCTATCAATGTGGGTATGCACTGAACAGGATGGAAGAGGCAAAGACCCCAAAATGTTCTGAAGATTACTTGGAACAGATACATTCTACTTATCAAAAGAACTGTTACTGTTGCCAAAGGCTTCTTTTCCAATATATTCACTTACAGTTTAGTCAAGGTAATAAGTTCTCTCCTTCATTACTGCATACTCACAAGTACCCTACTATTCAATTTAAATGGGGAGCGGGGGAAGCATGACTAGTCTAAAACATTTACTTTTGCTAATGTAAAAGTGTTGGCATTTTGCTCCATTTCTGATAAGCTGGTGCCTGTGGAACTGATTATTCTTTTCTTATTCAAAACGTATCAGCAAGTCGAAAGTACTCTCAATCTTATCAGGTGTATGAACAGCACAGTTACTGAAAACAGATTGTCCTGTTTCTCTCTCTTTCTGCCAGGCTATCAGATAAACCCAGCTAACTAACTGTATTTACACACAATCAAACATAAGCTGTATCTTGGAAGAACTGTTGACTGATTTCAACATGCCCCAGGTTTGCTGTTTGATATTAGAACCACAAAAATATGAGAAGTGTGTATCCTCAACTATTGTCAGCCAGGAAAAAACCTCTATTTATATAAAGAGCACCACTAACATTAGAATAGGGGGCGGCTGGGGGGGAAGGTGGCACGAAGGGAGCCAGAATTGTCTTTCAGAATTTTTTTTATGTGACTCTCCTATAATGGGGACATACCAATACTATTCTAAGTTCGCTGTATGTGAGAATTTTGGCGTATCGGATATATTTGTGTGTGTTGCTTTTTTAATTTTGTTCTTGCCTTCTAATTAAAAAGAGTCTTGCAGCACCTTAAATATCTAATCAATTTTTCTCTGAATGTGTCACATGATTTTGCAATGTTTGCTTCAAGGTTCTGATGCAGCTAGTGATTTCTTGAACATACACACACACACACACACACACACACACACACATATATATATATATATAGACAAATGAGTATAGAAAGCAGCTACTTGTACCATAGGAATATACATTCCAGAGTCATTGCTCCATCAGATGCCAAAGACAGTGGAGGGACTATTTCCTTCATTGCTATCTCCAACTCCTTATAATGAATATTTTCTAAGAGAAAAGGTTGGGACGTGCTCCCACCTGAGTACAACTCAAGCTTACGCCTTAGTCCCCAGAACAGAACAAACCATTCTCTAGATTGGTAGGAAAACAATGAGATGAATTAAGCCAAGTGTGCTGTGCTGTGTAATTCACCTGATTGTTGTTTCTCCATCTGTGAAACCATGGTCCCTATGATTAATGGGACAGGTGTCACTCATATTAATGTAAACCGCTGGCAGTGGATGTTAGCTCTTGTTAACATGACCCTCCTTCTTAAGTAGAAATCATTCAGTGATACAACCATAGAGTGCCTAATACATGTCCTTTAGAGGCTAGAAATCCCATCTTCCATTTCTACAGCTTCTGGAAAAATGTTTGAAAAAGTGTAGGCCATTTCAGAGTTTAGGACCATACCCTTGAGGTAGCTATTTGCTATGAAAGTGTTAATAAGAATAAATGTAGTAAGTTAATAGAATAAATATTTCATAATTAAAAGAAGAAATATTAATATGCTAGGCTGGAAAAGGTCTGTCTTCATGCAAATTTTATACAGAATTTATTGACCATTACATTTTTCTGCATACTGATATTTACCAGCATATAAATATAATGATATTGTTTTCAAAATTCATTTCCTTATTATCTTCTCCTCTTTTTTTTCTGTCTCTGCTCAACTTAAAGTAAACAAAAAACAAAACAATTTATTTGTTGATTCACTAACCTACATGGACCAGGCTTGCCAAAATGAATTCCTCTGGTGTATATTTCAGCCATAATACCCTTTTCATCTGACATCACCTGGGAATATTTAAGAAAAAAAAAAGAGAACCTTTAACTTACAAATCAAGCTAAAACCTACAGCAAGTCCCAAGATATTACAAAAAGTGGAAATGTATTGGAAATAAACAAAATAGGCAATTGTATATACAAATATAAAAGTCAGTGCTTGCTTTCTGATATTTTATACATGGAACATTATTTTAAAGAGCAGATTGAACATGCTATGTTATCCATGATATATTCATATCTTACTAGTTTTTGAATGTATAAAAATGTATAAAACACTTATGGAAAAAAACATTTAAAACACCACAGATGTTAGAAGGGAGTAACAATTTTCTCCAATATTATTTCTGTCAACAACTATGAGGAAACCTAGGAACAAAATCCCAGGGGCTAAGAGGAGGAAACATGACCCAACACACCTTACTCTCCTTATTTACTTGCATCTTTATACAAAAAGGAATTTAACTGTTGCCCAGGGGTCAGTCAACTTTATTCCATGTGGCTTTTCTCCTTACTCTTTGTTATTATCTCCAGATCTGACTTTTTAAAGATCAGGTATGAATAGGGATTGTCTAAGTTCTGACTCCCTACATATTTTTTTTCATGAAGGCTGAAAACAAGCACCTACACATTGGCAACATCTTCTGATTCTAAATAGCCACAGCCTTCAATCACTGATCACACCTATTAAAACTCTCTTTGTAGCCTTTACAACATCTTGCGACAGTTCGACCAGCTGTTTAAGGAAAAGTCGTGTGACAGAGCAAAGCTAAATCGACACATCTGTGATACTTCAGATGCCCCACAGCATGGCTAATATTAATTTGTTTTCTTTGGCTAGGTAAGTGCTGCCAAAACACATTACGTATGGCATGTAGTTCCAATCAAAATGATGAAAAGGAGATGTGCATTTCTGTCTCACTCTAAACTTGAAAAGACACAGAAGAATAAGTGAGATAGCAGCTTGCAAACAAATACAAATGGACTATATGCTGATAAAAGTCTACCTAGATTTGGTTTTCCTTCTGGGGGGATTCACAAGAAATGTTTCATTTATTTCAATGGCCTGCATCCAAAGACTCTACCACAGAGGTGGAGAAATTATCCTATCTATGGGATGTTGCTGGTTCTCCATCTGTTTGTGCCTTTCCTTTACGAACTTCAGAGGATGAACCTTGCTGATCAATCTTCCCCTTGTACAAACACAGCATCTTCTGCTTATGCAACCAGCAATTTGGGTCAATGTTCATATAATTTATTTCAAAGTATTTATGGTTACAGAAAGCCAAAGTTTTAGATTCAATTTCAGTTTGATGAATGTATAAATTCAGCTTCTTGAATGAAAAACAAATCTTAACTTTGCAGTTAATTTCTTGTATTTAGGTTAGGTATAAAAAAGGATCCCCTGGACTAAGTTCCCATAAATTACTACCATAGTTTAAACTTTATAAGCAAACTTGCATAATTATACAATAATAATATATGTATTAATAAATTGTGGGAAAAGAAACTCTGATTTGAAAACCCTGCAACTCCTGAAATTCAAAATCACTGTAGTACAATAAAGGATCACTCTTGCCCTGTGTGTGCATGTCTTTATTTGCACAATGTGTCATGACAATAAGTGTACAGATTAACAAAATGGCTATATTTTCCTCTTGAAGACATAATTTTCAATACAAACTTCAATGAGAGAAAATTAAATATCCAATCCTACAGATGTCTTTGCCAAAAATGCAAATAAAGGAGGAAGCCATGATATAGAGATCTAACATATATACAGGCACACAAGATGTGTGTGTACACATATACACATATACACACATACATACACATACACAAATATCCTCTGTGTTTACGTAAGTAAGCACATATACATTCAATGTTAGTTAGCAATAGGATAAAGCAGAAGTCTTAAGTAACAAAAGTAAAAGCAAATTCTAGATAAAAGTTTTATTTTAGGAAATTAAAATAAGTTATAGACATAAACCTACGTTTAAACTGTAGAGGATAATTGTTTCATATAATAAGTATTTCCAATTAGAATGAAAAGAGTGCCAGAATAATTGCCTTAGGGTCTCCATGTTATATGCAGGCTCATTTGACGTCTTGAGCTCTTATTATTTCCTAATATATTTTGTTGATAGAGTTTAGTTGTAAATTTGGTGTTTTGGAATCTTTTTTTTTCTTTTTTTCTTTAAAGAAGTACTTACAGCTTAGGCATGTAGTAAAATAAATATAATTTTATTGCTTAATTTTAATTATACTTTACAATTTAGAGAATGCAAGCAAAATCTTATAGGTAATTTTCTTTAGAATACCAAAACGAAAAAGGATGTGCAATTTCTCCTTAGACCAATGCTTCTAATATTAAACTACCTGCACGTCGGAAGAGTTATGCCTTTTATTACACCTAGAAAGTACAAAGATAAAAATCCCAAGCTTTCTGTGGCACGAAATAATAAATGTGAAAATGACAGCAGCTAGATTACGTATCTAAAGGAATGCACCAGTGATTGTCCTGATTCCTTTTTTTTTTTTTTTTTTACAATCTAATATCTACATTGTTCTTACGGAGTTTATTTTTTCAAGATAACAAAAAAGTTTCAAAAATGTTTGCACATGTACTCTGTTTATAACATACAAATATAGTCAAACAGATATAAGGGTGAAACATGCACAAAGCAAGCAGCCACATGCTTATGCAACCATTATCAGCTGCGATAAAATGTGGAATTGTTTTATATCAATTTAAATAGATGCTGATACGCCTCAGCCAAGTAAAACTGGGTGTTAAAGAGAGACAGAAAGAGAATTGGTTCCCAAACCATGGCAAACATGTAAAATGGGGATGTCAGACTAACAGGGACTGCTGGTTGTCATTCCAGCGCTATCAAACATGTACATATGAGTATGATTGGAGACAGAGAAGTTAAATATTTCACTGTCAGAGAATGTCAAGAAGTGCAATTCATTTCTCTCTCTCTCTCATGTGCTCTAGGACAATGACAATTTAATACAAGGCCAATGAATGTAAAAGAGATAAAACCGAACCAGCCTAGCATAATCATAGATTTCCTCTTGAGAGCTTGCTAGGGCTAGAGAGAAACTAGGCAGAGACCAACATTTTATTGTTTTTGTCTCTAGAGTATATGCTATGAAGCAGAATCCAAACTATATGGAAACTATATGGAAAATAACCAAGTTGTTTTAAGCTTCTAGGGGAGCGTATCCAATTTACTTCAAATTTCTTAACATTCAGCATTTTTGCTGATTGGTAACAGGCTAACAATATTCATAAGAGGGCATTCATTTAAGACTGTCAATAAATATTAGTGCTGTTCATTTCTATTTGTTTTTGCACCAAGACAAAGGTCACTGTGCATCAGAAATGTTCGATACCAGGAAATTTGCCAAGCTATTTAAGTATACTGTTATTTAAAATAACAACAACAAAACCAAACCTAGAATCGTGTTATTAGAATCTGACACAATTAGGCTCGGCTTTGAGAGGTGGCTTCAAGAATTACAAAGATAATCACAAGCAAGTTATCCTCTATGTTTGATGTATAGTTCCACGTATTTTTAAATAATTGCAAAAGTGGAGTTTGGCTAATGAGGCAGTCCTTATCTGTACTCGACAGTCTAAGCGGAAGCATTTTTTTCCTGTAGGCTTAATATTTTTTTTTTTCAGTGCACAAACTGCTGTCCAAAGTAACTTCAGATCAGATGAAAGGAATAGAATTCATCTCCTAACCCATAATGGTCATAAAAGAAAGAAATGATTCCAAGAAGAAAAATGAGTTTGTTTTGATTATATTATTTTTAAAAAATAAACATGTATTGAGATCTTTCCTGTCTGCCTTACTTTCGCACAACTCTTCAAGAATGCTATTTTTCTTACTGGATTTTGTTTTTGAAAAGCATCAGTTTATCATCTGACCTTTCCAAATTAAGTACTTTCTAAAACAATCTTATGATAAGAAATTTAAAACAGGATAGTATGTCGGGGGAAGGGAGGAAATAACAGTGGAGGAAAATGATCATCCATTCAAGAGAATTAATGGATATCCACAAGGGCTTTGCTAATAACACGGGTTAATTACTGCTGGAACACACCAGGCTTAGTAAACAAAAGAAAAGAACCATAAACACATTAAAATGAGCAACCATCACTTAAAAAAAAAAAAAAAAGGTCAGGCCTAGCAAATAAAAAGCTGTCAGATATTTCAGCACCAGCTCTTTGCACTCTGTCAGTTGCAAAATTTTGCAGAAAACATGTATGAAAAGCAGAAATTCAAAGTTGGAAGTTTAGTAATAAGGAGCATGTAACAAGGCCTATTTAAGTAGATGCATAAGGATCCATTTTGAAAAGCCCTCCAAAAATTCTCATTTAGACAGCAACCATGCTAATATCTTACATAATTACATGTTTGGATTTAAAGACAGTGGTTTTTTAATCATTTTTCATGTATAGGGATTACATATTATATTAACACAGATAGACAGAGGTAGTGTCATCTATATTAGATAGAGAGATCTTATCTAAGGAGAGTAGACAGAGTTTTAACTTTCTCTTCACTTAATTACCCCTCTCCTCCCCTGTACCAAATACTGTTCATCTTTCTGGATCGAATTTTAAGAACAATGCAGCAAAGGAGGGGATATTAAAACAAAAAACAATAGACTATTTAAATATCTAATGTTATTAATAAAGCAAGAAAAAAACCTAGAGAGCAGCTCTCAAATGTATTAATATTTTCTTAAAGCTAAATGGTCCAAAAGCTGTACATAGTTTTCAGTTCCATGGTTTTAAAGCATCTTTTGTCTTCCAATTGTGGCATCAGGGTTCACTATTGAAATTTCAGCCAACCATCCAAAGTTTCTTGGCATCTGTGCATTTTATCTCCTTTACTATTAACCCAGTGTGTTTGCTTATCTTTAAAATTAGGTGTACTATGACATTCACAGTTGCTTTGTTTCATTTTAGAACTGCTGCATTTTCATAGTGTGATAGAGATTGGATTCAAATTAATGAAAGGAACATATAGACAGTATAGAGAAGATATCTGAAGTCACAAACCTATTTGCCTTTCTGTGCTTGGCATTCAGAGATCATGTTTAAATGTACTAAGCAAGGTCCTCCCCCTGCCCTTTTTTGAGTGTTTCAATTGCCTTTCCTTCTTCCAACAGCTGTGACAACTGTTAAAACAGTCAGTAAAATTAAGTCAGCTCTACAAGCCTTTAGCCAATGTTACATTTTAATCAGAGGTTAAGATGAGATTTTGTGTTATGATCACATTCATTTATAGTATTTAAAGTCACATATATGCACATATCTGCAAATATATCTGTTCTTCTCTTATTAACTGTTCTTTGAAATTATTAGCATTTACTCTCTTCTTTTACTGAAAAGGTAAAAGCAAGGGTGGCAGATGGCTTTAAGTTTTGCATTCTTTAATGTGGACTAGCTAGATTTCAAACCATACTGTCTTTTTACTTATCCACATTCTGTAAGTTTTCTAAGCCTTCCTCCGTGCACACACAATAAAGCACAAACTCTACAAATATTCTGCTTCTTTATTATGTTCTTGTAGCTTAATTTATAGTTTGGTTTGTATCACATACCACAAAGCCGAAGTACAATTACCAGCAATATTAATAGCAAGTAAGACTCTGTGGTTTATTAATCGAGACAGAGAGACCAATGTGCTCCTGGACACTAGATAGCTCTGCTTGCCCACTGAACCACAGATCCATCCGGAAGACTTTTAATGGGGGGTGGGGGGAGAGATGGAAGAAGAGAGCTAATTGTGGCAAAGTGGGAGGAATAGTAAGACTCTTCTGCCAGAGCCAAAAAGGCATATGCTCTGATTTCATTTAAATGCATCTACTTTAAGAAGCTTATCACAATTAATCATTCAAATTAGCTCTAAGAACAAAAATCAAGAAAGGTCCTTAAAAAGAGAGCATCTTCCTAACTTTAGAATCTCTCTCCTCCCCTCTCACCTTCTCCATAGAAAAAAGCTAGCCATCGCAAGTTGAAACAGTGACAACTGCACTTAGGCATAGATTAAGACATTTTAAACCACACTGTACAACCACAGACTGATCTACAAACTGCATCTCAGTGATCATTCTAATATAGTTTATTTACATTCTTCTGCAGGTGAATAAGGAATCCTATCTCTTCCTCTCCTTCCATGTACACACACATTATAGCACACATTGACATACTCTTTAATTGTGTATCTACCTATATCATATCCCAATGTCCAAGACACTTTTTACAAAAGCCTGTAATTTAATTGTGACTCACCAATCTAACATGCAGTCATTAATGGCAGCTAGTGGGCATATATCCACAATACACAGTCACTTCTGAGTACTGTCATGGTATGCATTCGGTCTAAGGCTGAGCCCACTGCCAGCTTCTGCCGCGGCGTAAGGTTTTTTAAGGCCAAAATTAAGTTTGCAGGCTCTCAAAGTTGTGAAGTGATACACCGGTTTAGAAACCTTCTTTCCCTTCTGCTTTTTATTAGTTCAGAGCTGAGAGAACATGCATGCAATAAATAATATTAAATGTGCTATATACCCCAAATGTTTATTTTTATTTATACAAAATAATATTTTACTGCATAGGATGCATTAAAAAGAATAACAGCAGTTTTTAAATTCCAGTCAAAAGCAAACAAAGCTCACATTGGCTGAGGAAGTGGCACACACACACACACATGCACATATGCGCACACACATACACCTTTGCTACTTAATGGACCTATTTGTCAGTAAATGACTGGAGCCTTACATTAAACCTTAATTACAGAGCACTATCCTTAAAGTGGGATTAAACTCTTGAGCTGGTCCCCCACTCCCAACTGGGCTTGGCAAGAAAGCTCAGAAAGAGGAAAAGATCAAAAGATTATCTAAACCTTGTTTGAGACAGTAGCTCTCTTCCGCTCATTTCAGGAGGAGCGGGCAGGAGAAGGGAAGGCCGTGTATCTTTCTGAGAGATCTGCTGAAACAATTCACTCTGTCTTTGGGCCAAGCCAAGTGCCTATTCTTAGTACCTGAATAAGAAATGACGGTCACTCGCACAGCTGCTTTGCTGACAGCCACGCCGCTCCCGACCCAAAAGGTAACATTGTTGAGAGAAAAACAATTCCTCCACTTACTGAATTAGCAGATAAAGCACAGCACAAAAGAGACAAGACGGACACACTCCACTCATGCACACAAGACGCCAGGAGGCATTACCTGAAAGCGGCATTTCACGTTGGATATATTTTTATTATTACTCCCCTCCCCACCATTAGGCAGAAGGAAAAAGTGCGGGGGGGGGGGATAAGAAAGGAAAGCGGAAGGGGGGGGTATAAGAAGAATGGTAGGTACCTACTCTTCTTCGTAGTGCAAGGAAAAAGATTCAGGAAGGCAAAGTTCTACCGAATCCATGTGCGCTCGGCAACCATTATTTGTGCACCCCAGCTATAAATCAAAGTTTCCTTGACACAGCACAGTGCAATTAACACAAATGTTCTCCTGGTGACAAGCCTATGGGCACAGCCAGTTGGGACCAAAAGCTCACACGCTCCTAATCAAGGACTTAAAGCCCCGATTGGAGCTTATAAATATGAAGTAGGGCTTTACATATGCATTCCCTCTGGCCCAGGCCGAAACGCGATTGGTAGGGCGTCGGCCAATCAGCGCCGGCAAGAGCAGAGGCTGCACAGATTGAGCGGCGCTCGGCAGGTACAGACGGGCGGAGGGGACTGAAAGGGGACGGAGTGGGCGAGCGGGGGGGAGGGGAGAGAAAGGGAAAGCGACAACTGAGAACGCGCCGCAGATCTAAAAGACGCAGAGCCTTAAAAAGTGGTTTGCCAACCACGACGCGCTTTTAACTCTGAGGGGGGCTAGATTTAACTCTTTAATCGACCGGTGCTTTCTGTTTGTTAAGCTACGGTTGGGCAGGAAGGTGTGCAGCCTCAGGGTTTTTGAGAAGATATCATCATAAGGTATAATTTTGTACTGCTCTTCTCTTTCTTCCTTGTTGTATCTCCTGGCGTGTGTGTTGGCGTGTGTGTGGTGCGTGGCAAACTCGGGATGATCTGTTGACCACCCTCCATGTTCACTCAGAAAGTAGACCTACTTGGAAAGATGGAAGACAGGTAGACCAAATCTCCACTGAACTTAGTGGGACTTCCTTCTGAGGAAGCGTGCATACGTTGCAGTAAGCTCCCGGGCATATTTCCGTATAAACAGGTCTGACTGCTTGTCTGTTGACGTAAGGAAGCATGGCTAGGATTGGACCGTTAATTTTTGTTTCCCCTCATGTAATTCACTTACATTCTGTTTTACCTTTCTGAATATCAGGTTAAGGAATCTAAATAAGTTTGCATTGCTGACTTTTATACGCATACAAAATTAGCAGTGTTTGTATTTCGTCACTTTTTTTTTTTTAGAAAAAGTGTGAGAGAGAACTTGAGAGAAATTAATGTTTAAAAATGAACACAAAAACAGGTGCAATACATACAAGTATAAACAGATACATTGATGGATGGATGTACACGCATAGCAGATAAACATCATATAAGATACGACAGATATTTTTTAGTTGAAATAACAGAAACAAGATAATTTAACCAATTAATTCTGTTGGTAATAACCTTATTTATGATAATTCAAACCTCACCAGTTTCAAAGAAAATTACTTCCAGGAATGCAGTAGATTAGACTTTTCAGCAGTCTTATATATTCAGTACTGTGTCCAATAGCTTTGACATAAGTGCCACTAAAGTCAAATGATACAATTCTGAATAAACCTGTATCAGATTGGTCTGTAGTCACTGCAATCTTACAGGTTTAGCTTAACTTGATGTGTCTTAATTATAGATATACACAAGTGCGCACACGCACACACAAAAATCAAGGATCAACATGGATGCAAATATGTTACATGATTTACGTCCTGTCTGCAAAATTACCCAGCCTTCTAATTCCCCACTCCTAGCTGCCTCATGCCAGAGCTGATGACCTCCTTCTTTGAATAAACTATTAATGTAAATCAATGTATATCAGACTCTGGGCCAACACTACACATTTTCTAAGAATGCACAAAAATGAAAGGGTGGGGGAACAACTTGTGTCCTGAAAGTGTCATTAATAATGTAATATATTTACATAGCATACTTATTAATACTAGAGCAAGAGTTCTTTCTTTTATACTCATAAAAAATAAATATCCCCTCATACCCAGTGATGAAATAATTATTTTAATCCTGGAAAATACTTTTTGTCACTAATTCAGCTGAATTGATCCAATCCTTTTTCCCCCCTCTCTGCATGAAGCACTCTGTGATGCAAATAACGTATTTTTTAGATCAAAACTAATCAGTGCACCTCCTCTAACTGCAATAATGACATTCACAAATGGGAATACAACAGCTGTCTCCAAATCTATTTGATGGCTTTCACCAAAGTGAAATGACAGAAAGGAAGACAAGTATATGTAAAAGCACAGGACATGTTTGCATCTCTTTGTTTTGCTTGAGCTTGTAGCCTGTGAGATCTTTATCCTATGGACAGTTTCTAGTCTGCTTCTCATACATGCAGAAAATGCATATATTGGGGGGATCAGGAATACACACGGCAAAACTAGAGTATCCACCATTAATAGAAAAGCAGGTAATAAAACCTTTATTACCAGCAGCATTTTTGCTACGTACGGAGACTCTAATTAAGATGTAAATTTTGATTCTGAGCAGTGAGACAAAACCATGCTACAGATACACTAAGCAAGTCTCTCCATGCTTTATAAATGTAGCATCTTGAACATCGTTTAAAGCATTTTAATAAAAGGAATGACTTTGTAGCATGGATACAGTTTGTCTTCATATCAATTGCATGCAATAAACATCAAAAACTTTTGCAAAATAACGATGCACTGTCCTGTACCATGGTGTAGGCTTATTCTTCAGATTCTAATATATATGTTGGTTTTCACATGAAACTTTATAAGCAACAAATATACATCACAATGTGATGTCATTAAATTGTAGTGAAAAATACAAAATTTACCTCATTTTTATACATTCATTACAATCTGCTGTAAATATTCTTTGAACTGCTGATTTCTTTTGTGCTTCCACCCCCCCGTCCCCGCAGCTAAGCTTTTCTTGTCCACAGTTCCTTTTACTCATCCATATCATTTTGTGTTTCCCCTGTCACCAAATTAACTATTGCTATCTTTCAGCCAGACACCTTACAGGCATGGGTCTTTGCTGATGGTAGTGCTGCTTAGGGGACCACAATCATAGTATTATAATTTATGCATTCATGAAAGGCAGTTGGCCTTCTCCCCTGAGACTTAAAATGTCACCTCTAGTAGACTTGGGCCTGGAATTTCAACAGCATTCTTCAACTTGGCTATGCTGGTTACAGTTCAGTTATTTTATTAAAAGAGAAAATAAATGAGGCAAGTTAGAATCTATTATTACAGCTCCCTTTTCTCTCTAAAAAGAATGCTTGAAAAAGAGCGACTTGTGAAAATAAAATCAAGGTGAATGCTTATTTCATAATTTCTAGGTTACTGAAAATACAACACAGAATAGTGTGTGCATTCTCCCTTTCTTCTTTGCTCTTTGTCAGATGCTGCAGTATAAAATCTCACCCCAGAAGCCTGGACAAAACAATAGTTATGGAATCAGGCCTGGGAGGTTGAGAGAAGTCAGTGAGTATTCTGAGTGGGGTCTGTTTCTTCACATCCCTTCTATCTTTATTAGCATCCCCATGTAGGATACTGTGCATCCTTAAGCGCTACAGACGTTTCATGCCACTCAAACTGCCAGACTCCTAAGCCATAACTACCTCAAGGCTACTAAACTAAAGCTTCAGTGGCAAAAAAGCAGTACAGATAATTGTACAAAGTACATATTTATGTTAAGAAAAACGACAAGAAAGCAAATTTTGTGTTTGCTATGAGACATATATATTTATACACACACACACACGCACACACATAGCTGCTTGTATCCCAAGAGGATATTATAGTTTTCTTCTATACCAATGAATCCTATCATATTTTTTATTAAATTAAAAAAAATATATTGTTAAATTATTTTGGGGGGTTATCTGACATTAATCAGAGTAACATAGTTGCTATAGCTAGCTTTAAGCTAGATGGAAACATGGCAGAGAACAGTATTTTTTTTTTAATAATATTTCTGAATAACAAAGGGCCTATAGAGTTCTTTACAAAGGCCCAGGTGTTTTCCCAACACACATCCGAATCCCATATTCATTTATTTGAAAATATATATTCTGCTAGCTTCATTAAGAATAAGTTGATTCAAATGTTTGTTAGAAATCTGCTACTTGTCCATTTCATTTTCTTCAGAATGTACAGCATACTCCTGGTTACAATATAATTTCTACCCTCCCCCCACCCCAGAGAGAGAGAGAGACAGAGAGAGTGCGCAAGCGACAAGCTTACTCTTTGAATTTCTTTTCATGCTAGCCTACTCTTCAGTAAATGGTAGTAGATTACTACTTTAGAACCATCTGCTGCTTTCATTTATATTTAGCAGAAGTAATGACCACCCTGCCTGAATTTTAGACAAGCCACAACACTCAAAACTGCTTTCGAGAATAAGCTATACATAAGCATACATATGCATACATATGCACGTAATTCCCCATACAGCCTTTGTTGTCCTTTTAAATAAAAAACACAAGGTTTCTCCAAAACGACATCACAATAATTTTATCCTATCAGCACACTACAGTAAATGAACCACAAGTATCCTGCATCAGTGATTCCTCAGGTCTAGCAACTTCTGTTTAAATTGCTACAGTGCAGAATCTATATATGGTTCACCTTAAAATCTCTGCTGTAGTCTTTTGGAGAAAGTATAAATGGGAAAAAGTTTTAAGTGTAATACAAAACCCATACCCTCTCCTTTTCTATGAAACTGTGCTCCTAGCACATGTTTTCCTTGGAGAGCCACATGGTGTTACTGTCTAAGAAAGCCAAGGCGAAGATGATTGAGGGAATTCAATCACTCTTTAATTAATACAGGATTATTTCACTTTCATTTTGTGGAGCTAATAATACGAGGTGGAATGTCAGTAAAAATTAAATCGTAAACTAGCGGAGAGCCAAGGGAAAAGCTCACTTTAGTTATGGAGTATTCCCAGTAGAAATCTTGGAAAATCTTACACCTATTTACATTGGTAATGCTGTTCCATGGGATAGTAAAAGATTTCAAGAATCTGCATGGCACAGGCATATATCACAGAACAAGATAACATTTTTAGATTATCTATTAATAAGTGAATTGAAGGCATGTTGTTTCCTGAATGTTAAAGGACCACATGTTAAATGGAGAAGTACACTCAAGGTCAGCACTGCATTTTGGACAATCTCAGTCACTGTGATATTATGGTAATCATATTTAAAATATTCGTAGAGAAAGAGCAAATTAGGCTTTTCACTAGAAAGATTATTATGATAAACAACAATTCTGTGGCAACAAATTCATATTGCTTTCTTTCCCATAGTAAATTACAACTCCTTATTGGGCCTGTGATGCTTCTAA